AGCCTTCTGGTGAGTTTAACAGGACTCTGTATCTCCAGCGCAGAGCTACAGCGCGTACGGCTGCAGTGGGGACCCGGGGCTGCGGTAACAACAATAACCTGGCGCCTCACCCCGAAGTACTTTATCTTAAACCCCGATTCCCTGTCCCTAAGCTTTTCCTCAGATGTTTTCTCGGTTCCAGCGGTGGTGGCTGAGGGTTGGTACAAAGCCAGAAAAGGTGTCGGCGATCTCGCGCTGGGAGATCACGGTAGAAGCTGAGATGGCTGGAAATTTCCTGGCCTCTGGCACCCAGTGCTGTGGGCAGCCCGGGGGCTGGTTATGCTGGTGACTCACTGTACAGCGGGGAGAACAAGCTCTGTTTCATGTGCAGTTTTAATTTCCTTTCATGCTAACAGGATGCACAACCTTTTCTTAAAGAAGCCTGTACAAGGCTGTGATGCCTACAGCAGCGAGGAAATCGGTTCACTGCTCTGCTCTTGAGTAAAAAAAAGCAAATAACATTGGTTTTCTAACAAGGTTATGTTAAGATGGGAATTGTGGTCCTGTAATGAGCTTGTTTTCTGATTAAGGAGCAGAGTTTACAGCTCAATAACTTTTCATTCTCATGTGCTTCTCTTGGGGAAATCCAGGTATCTCACCTCTTGAAATTTTGCAGACAATGTATCATACACCTGTCTTTCATTCCCTACTAAAGACTGAGCTGTCTTCAATTTCCATGTCTTTCTGGCTTGGTTAAAGTCCTGTGAACCTACAGGGTAAGCAAGGGAAGGAAACTATGCTGTGAGGAACTTCTCCTATGGAGCAGTGTCCGTAGCTGGTACCCCAGGGAGAATGAGTACTCCAAATGGATTTCCGCAGCACTCGGGGACATGTGTTACTCAGAGCATGGAGGGTGGAGCAGTACAGGACCTGCACGCTAAAAAAGCTGGCAAAGCAGCGAAGAAAGAGGCCAGTGGCAATGGGGTGCTTACCTTTGAAGATCCTCCAAGTGTAGGGACATCTTTAAATGAAACTTTAAAGCTTCTACCAGATGAACTCAAAGCTAATATGAAAATTAAATTGGTTACTCCAAGACCTCCCCTGAAACCCCGGCTGGAACGTGCTGCATCTCTAGATGAGAAAAGCTGGAGGAGGTGGAGACGGCTTAGAACAAGTCAGGAAAGTCTGACTGATCCCAATGAGACAAGTTCCTCAAACGGTTCCCTGCAGGAAGCGTCCCTCAGCCCTCCCATCAGGGTTAGGGCAAGCCCCTGCCAGCAGTGCTGCCGGCAGAACTCCTCGCGTGGTTCACCAGATGCCTCAGAAACCAGTTCCATGGGGAAGAGCAGAGGAGGCACCTCTGACCTGGGGAAACGAGCCTCCGAGATCTCCAGTGCCTTTGGTGGCCTTCTGCGGGGGAAAGCCTTTGCAGGCGGCAAACCCCGGCTGGCCCAAATAATGCCGGCTCGACCTCTGCCACCCATGGAGCTCAATGTGGCCTCTCACACACTGAGGACAGCTAATAGGATCGACTCAGATTGTGTGGATTATCGACATTATTCTCAGCACAAGTTTGGGAGGGTAAGCGGCAGCTTGAGCGATACCAAGCTACATGGCAACGGGATGGTCTATGATAGTTCCTCCACAGACTCCATGAAATCCACGTTCAGCCTGCTCACTCCCATTCGCTCCAAGGATGTTCGAAGCAGGTATGGTTCCCAGTTTCTCCTGGCAAAGTTTGGGGTGTGTTAGCAGGGAGCTGGCTGCCCTGCAGAATCCTCCTGGGGCAAAGGCACAGAATTTCCAACCGATCAGTAAAGCACAAAACTTGTTCTGTGCTGTTTAACTTGCTGTGGAGACCGGGGACAGTTTGAAGATGAAGAGATTAGTACAAGTACTCTATTTTTACTCCTTTCAGCTGGGTATTTATTTATTTATTTTTGTAAGTATAATTTGATTTCTTGTCAGCTTGCTTGTAATATTTAAGTAATCTGTTTTGAAAATTAAGAGGGCTGTACATGCTAACAGTTGGGAAAAAAATGGGGTTTTTTAATCTAAAAGCACACTGGGCTTGAACTGAAATATTAAACTGCAGGAAAAAAACCCTGCAAATAGCTTGAAACCATCATGCAGTGTGTGCAGTACTGTCACAATCCTGTAAGGTGCTGAGGGTCCTCTGCAGATGTTGAACTTGTTTGGCTTCTGGCAGGATCAGGTCACATACTGTGAACTGCTCCACTGTCCCGCAGGAGCTCCTCTGCCCCAGCATCAGTCTCACCGTTACACTCGTGTCCTGGCTTTGAAAAGGCCGGTTTATGACAATAGTTTTGTTTTCTTGCATATAATCCATAAACTCTGTATAAGGTTTGGAAATTTATAAGGAACTTTAGGCAAGCAGAGCAATACATAAATACTAGATGCCTATTTATTGAGATAAAGGTATGTTCTTGATGAACTCAAGATTCAGGCGTTACCAATCAATATTCCACTGTCATGCTGTTTCCTTAGATGCTCATTTGTGGGTCTTCTGTTCACAGAAGCTATTTGGAAGGCAGCCTTCTGGCAAGTGGTGCCTTACTGGGAGCAGAAGAACTTAGTAGATATTTCCCTGATCGGAACATTGGAATTTTTGTGGCCACCTGGAATATGCAGGGTCAGAAGGTATGTGTACGTAAGTCTCCACAGGTCTTCTGGTAGTGATAAATTTACCCCAGCTTTACTACAAGAGCTGGTGCAGTGTTTTTTTGCTGTTCACAACTATGTTCCTCATCAACCTGAGTTCTTTGTCTTTATCAAATTATAGGGCCCTCTCATGCATGCTCAGCTTAGTGAGGGAGTTGTCATGATGGGGTTCCTCAGATACTGGATGTGAACCAGTGAGCTTGCTAGTGGCACTCTGGCTTTTTGTGGCAGCTCCTTTATGCTTCATTGCAATTGGGGTCATAAGAAAATGACTGCCAGTTTAGTGCTTATGAGAACATCTCTCAGTCTCCTGCTTACATCTTTACATAGCCTAGGAATTCGAGATTGATTCTACCAGGTGACTGAGGAGCTATGCTTGGAAGAACACAAGCAGCTCCTGGGATGTTCAGTAAATAGCCTATGAGCTTGGTAAAAGTAAGCACCACGGGAAATTAGAAACATGACATTTCTGGCCCACATGGCTCAACTGTGGAGTCTTGGTCACTGCTGGAGCGACAGCAGTTGAATTCTGCCTTTGGGAAGGAGAATTTTTAGTATTATCACATAAGGTATTTTTTGAAGCCTGAATTGTTTGTGTGTGCTGTGGAACTTGTAGCTTTGCCTGGACTTTGCCTGCCCTCTTCTAGTAAACCTTTGCGTAGTTAATATTGGTCCTTTTTCTTTTTTCTTTTCTTTTTTTTTTTTTTTTTTTAATAATAGGAACTTCCAGTGAATCTGGATGACTTCTTATTACCAACAGATCCTGACTATGCCCAGGACATGTATGTCATTGGGGTTCAAGAAGGCTGTCCAGACAGGTAGCAAAAACAATGTAATGAACCACCCTCTTTTCTTGTTAACTAGTTACTTTGGTTTTAGTTAGTCTGGAAATAGTCTCCCTCATATTCTCAATAAACCACCTGTTTAATAAGTTTGTGAATTCCATTGCACGAGCACCAGAGGAAATGTTTTTTAAGAGGAAAATATCACAAAAATCTGTAAATACAGGACTGGGTCCTGTTGTCAGGGCAGCTAATGGCAAAACTCTGATTTGATTTCAGTGGGCATCACCACAGATCTGAGCTGGCTGTGAGCTAGCTCACGGGCTGGCTGTTAGCGTTACCAACAACGTGCTCCTTAGTAGTACATTGATGCAGATTTCTATTCTGTGTGAGACTGACCAACCTTAGAAGAGCAGGTTGAAGTCAGACTCTGCTTTTTTAGTACATATTCCCAGTGGCACTCTCTTTTCCTCCGATCTGCAAGCTGCTCAATGCAGTGGCAGTATTACTCTCACCAACATGCAGAGCAGCTGCATGAGATGTGTGGAGTTAGACGTCAGACTGACCAGCCTCCACTGCAGCATCACTTTGGCAGTGGAGGTTTTGCTTACGCTTACTTTGCTGTTCTTTATCAGAGGGATTGCTCTGTTCTCACAGTGCTGATTTCCTTCCCTGGTTATTGTCTCTTGTACTGTCCTTGTGATCCAGCTGTTGTTCTTTCCTGCAGAAGAGAGTGGGAGATCCGCCTGCAAGAGACGCTAGGCCCTCACTACGTCATGCTCTACTCTGCTGCACATGGGGTGCTGTACATGTCGGTCTTCATTCGCAGGGACCTGATCTGGTTCTGCTCAGGTGTGTGGTCCAGTAAGAACTGGGGAGTGGGGAGGTGAAAGGACTGCTGCCATCGGGTGTCTTGTCCTTTTCTCCCTTGCCTAACTTTCTTGCTCCCTGTCTCTAGAGACTTTTCAGTAACAGCAGCTTTTTTTTCTCCTTCCAGAAGTGGAGTATGCCACAGTGACAACTCGAATCGTGTCTCAGATCAAAACTAAGGGAGCTCTGGGAATCTGCTTCACATTTTTTGGGACCTCCTTTCTCTTCATCACCTCCCACTTCACATGTGAGACATTTATAACTTTGTTAGAAGTGTCCTGATCGAGGGAGGAGGGGCGTTGCTTTACAAAGATAAAAAAGCTGCAGGTGGATGGAGGAGCACGACAGGCTCGAGTCAAAGCTCAGGATTGTTGAGCTGAGAACAGTAAGGGAAGAGGATTTTTTGGTAGCAAACTTAGAAGAGAACTGTGTTTAGAAAACCAGAAATTAACTCTGCACAATTGTATCCCTTTTTCCATACTTTCTGTCATTATTTCTTAGTCTGTATGCTCCCTGGGTCAGAGTGTTACACTTTACATGTGGAAAATGTCTGATGTCCTTTGGAAGCTCCTGTTATAACCAGAAATGGTAATTGAATGAAAACGATGCTTTCTTGGCAATAATGGGATTTCTGTCTTTCAGCTGGGGACAGTAAGGTGAATGAGAGGAAACTGGACTACAATAAAACCATTCAAGCCCTTACACTTCCCAAGAACGTTCCGGACACAAACCCGTATCGATCCAGTTCTAGTAAGTGTGAAACCATGTTTGTGTGGGAGCCCAAATGAACAGAGTTTGTGCATTGTCTTTCAGTCTATGCTAAGGAAGACAGACTGAGACTGCTGATTGGAGATGGTATAAAAAGAGGCCACAGGTCATCTTCTCTGAGAATGGTTATTATTCACATGACTTTTTTTTTGTTGTTGTTTTTAGGTAGGGCATAATTTTGGGGGGAATTTGAGAGGGAAAATTTAAAATGGAGGGGGAGATAGAAAATTCAAAAGTAATTTCAATGTGATGTATTTTTTCCTCAAAACAGGGATAAGATTTTGGTGTAATTTTTATCAATATCATGGACGTGTTTCACTTTCCAAGTGTTTTCTAGAACAAGTAGAAATTATTTCAAAACTTAAGAGAGAACATTATTTTAATTTGCGTATACACAGGTCAGCATATTGTTTGCCAAATACCATTATGCTCATTTTAATGAGCATGTAGCTACATCATATACTTTAATTTTCCTTAAAAGTCAAAAGGAGATTCAGGAAATAAGAGTTTGAGATTGTTTTTTGCTTTCAGAACTCTTTAGGATGTTTGCTTTTATACTGACACTTCTGGCTTGAATTTGCAGGTGATGTCACAACTCGGTTTGATGAAGTATTCTGGTTTGGTGACTTCAACTTCCGACTAAATAAGGATCGTGAGACCGTGGATTCCATCTTGAACCAGAACCCAGAAACAGACATGTCCAAGCTACTGGTGTATGACCAGCTTACTAGTGAAATGAGTAGGGGTGAGGGACAGCTATTTTTTCTCCTTAGCTTCCAGGAACAAAGATATCTCCACATAGAAATAATTACAGCCAAATCCCTATTTCCTGGAGACCTGCACTGCTTTCTGATGTTAAGTTCTCTCAAAAGGGAAGTCAGCAGTTGTCAAATCCAGTGTTAGTCTATCCTAGGGACTTTTTGCTGTAGCATCTTGCTATACATAGTGTAATCTCCCAAGCTGTTTATTGTTCTTTTTCATCTGACTCCTCTGTAAACTGGACATCATTCTCTCACAACATCTAGGGCGTTTAGATTTGAATAGCTGGCATTTGCAAAGGATCATGAGCTTTCAGTGGAAGGGGAAGCGCATGTATCAAGTGTTGTTTGTTTAAATAGTCACTGACTAGCTTTTCATCCTTGCTGTGTAACAGCTTGAGCTTGCCTCTTTGCCAGAGTCCATGCCCATGTTTTTCTAGTCATTGTATATACATGCCTGCAGTTTCTAGCCAGCAGTAGTTTAGCAGTGTTGAATAAATGCAGAAAGTGTGCCATGTTCCTGTGAAGGAGGAATTTGTTGTTCATGCTGTTCTCTCCTTGCCTTATAGGGTCTATTTTCAAAGGATTCCAAGAGGCTGACATTCATTTCCGTCCTTCCTACAAGTTTGACATAGGAAAGGACAGCTATGACACCACTTCCAAACAAAGGACTCCTTCCTACACGGTAAGGGATGATTTCAGAGCAGCATGCTCAGAAGGGCTGCTCAGCCTCACATCTGCCTCCAAAGGGGATTCTCACCTGTGAGAAAAAGCTGCCTTCCACAGATGGTCTGCATGAGATACAGTCATGCTGAGATTTGTTGCTTAAGGGCAACAGGGTATGTGGAACTGCTTTGGAAGAAAGGATTGTTGATTGTGAGCACAGGAAGAGTTTGGCAGGGGCTGCTAATCTTACTATTCCTGCCTTACACCCTGTTCCAGTGTATTCTCCCCTGTGCTCCAAGCTGGACACAGAACTGCTATTGGGTTCAGACACACACTCTTCATGAATGCATCCCTGTCCAAGACACTTAATTTCACTAAGTGAGGTGTGACAAATGAGAGGATTTGTCTCTTGTGAACCAGTGCTTCTTTCCAGGGTGGATGTGCAAAGGGAGTTACCATCAGTCTCCCCTCTCTCTCTGCCTCCCAGGATCGAGTTGTATACCGCAGTCGGTACAGAGATGACATCCATGCTGTCAAGTACTCATCTTGTCCTGTGATCAAAACTTCAGACCATCGGCCTGTATTTGCCTTGTTCCGTGTGAAAGTGAGACCTGGCAGAGACAAGTTAGTACCTCCTCATGCCACTCTGTGTGATTGCACATGGCTCCAGTCATCCTGAGGACATGCTCCTGCTCAGAGTTTGTCCTCTCAGGGCAGTCCCTGAAATAGAGTTAATCCCATGTAGCTCTCTGCAGCCTGTTTGTTTTTTACCCAATATATGTTCTCAGTGGTCAGGGCAGTAAGAGCACTTAAACCTTGCACTGACATCTGAAATCCCTGCTGCCAGGTCCCTTAATCCTCCTGAGGGAGATAAAGGGAGTCCGTTGCAATTGACTAAATCTGTGTTTCCTCTGAGATGCAGCTCTCCCTTTCCTGTCAGCACGGACAGCTCTTCTGTTCCTCTTTCCCTCTTTGGGATCAGCGCTGTTTTCTCTCCCCAGTGGTGGCTGCATTTCAACATAGTTGTATGTCAGTGGAGTATTTTGAGATCCTCCAAGTTTCTAATGTCCCGCTGTGGGCTGCTGTGCTGGTAAAACTCCTTAGAAAATTCTGTTAAGTCACTGAAATTTAGTGAAGTCTCTTTTCTGCGAGTAGCATGCTCAGGGATTTCGAGACCTGGTTATCTAGAAAATGGTGATTTCTCAAAGCCCTTGGTCAGCAGTGCAGTTAGAATTGTGATTTATTTCTTTTGTTTATGAGTATTAAATACCGAGTAAATAGAAGTATTGCAGAATCTGTGAAGCTGGGCTGCTGGAGTTTCCTTCCAGCCTCTCTAGAACAGACCAAGGTAAGAACTGTTGTGCATGAACCATACCAGTGAATAGACCAAGCTAACAGAAAGCCAGTTTAGGTTTTCAAATGAGTGGCTTTTGGTTTAGGGTCATAAAGAATGTCCTCCACGTATGTACCTTATGAATGCAGGCATGTTCATGCTTAAATTTAAAGTATATTTGCCTTTTACAACCAGTATTTTCTTAATTTAAATGTATTGTGAGAAACCGTAACTTCCTGCTGTGGAAGAACTTTGTTTTACCCATTTTCTCCCACAGCAGTAGCTAAATGCCTTAAGAAAATAAAAATTAGGTTTCTGGCCTTTGTTGTATGGACTGGTTGGGAAATGTTGAGCAAATGAGAAGAATGCATTTGTGCCCTGATCTAATTGCTTGTGTTTCTATTGTAGCATTCCACTTGCTGCAGGACAGTTTGACAGAGAACTCTATTTAATGGGAATAAAGAGGCGGATTACAAGGGAACTTCAGAAACGGCAAGAGCAAAAGGACCAAAAATCCAGCAGCGTGTGTAGCGTTTCCTGAGCCGAGAACTCTGCAGTGCTTGTGTTAGAGGTGCCCGGAAAGAGGATTTCAGGCCACAGCAAACTCTGCAGGGAATTGTCTGCTTAAGCACCTCTTGGCAGTTGCTGTGGCTTGTGGAGAATGTCTTAAACCTCATCCTGGATTCATTTGCATGAGCTAATCCATGTAGCTCAAGTGCTTTTGCTGAAGAAAATGGAGTCAGTTATTTAGGACATCCATCCCAACAGATGTAATTAATTTATTTTTAACCATACTATCTTTGGAAGCAACCGGATGCAGTCTCTTGGTTCTAAGATGATTCCACACAGGGAGCACAGCTTCTGGAATATGCATGACCGGGAGCAGGGACCTCAGAAAAGCCTGCAGAAAGGTGAACGTTTTTGTTTGTCTGTTTGATTTGATCTGGTTAGCTTACGTATGTTGTGGGTTTGGGGTTTTTTTTCTCCTCATCTGTAGCCAAGTGTACGGTATTCTGTAAAATGTGTAACAGGGACCAGTTAGGGCACTTGGGCAGCTTTGTGTAAGGATGGTGCTCCTGTGTTGGGCTTTTTTAGTCCTCTACACCAAGATCCATGTGAATGTATTACTTTACATTCGAAGTGTAGAAACATTGCCTTTTGACAATTATTTTATAGGCCTTCTGTTGCTAAGGGGGTAAATTAGCAGTCTCTCACACCACGTGTTTGGCTGTTGAGACTGTTTGAAACAATCCCTTCCTAAACTCAACTCACCCTTCCCAGGGGTGACAGAACACTACCTGCCTTCAGCAGCAGGACACTGAAGTTGAAAATAAGTCAAAGTACAACTACTGTGTAATGCTTCACCAAAGTGATTACGATGTCGAGTGAGTATTCTAGGGAAGTGTGCAGAGAAACTGCAGCAAGTCAGATCAGCGCAGTTCCATTACCTCTGATTACAGTTCATTCCTTTTGTTTTTATTTTTTGCTATTCAGTGAACTGTGAATAACGTGCTATTTTTGAAGTAGTGTTGTCTGAAGGTTAAACATACTACATGGACCAGTATGGCACTGGTAAAATGTTAAGTACAGCTAATACTTAAAAATTCTTCATGGGCACAGATCGGCTGGATCATTAATCACCTTAGTACGTAAAACACCATGCAAACAACTCGGAGGAAGTGCCACTAACTATGCAACCTGCCCAAAGACAGAGCTTCTGTACTGCGGTACAAACGTTTATGGCACTGACCTGTCTGTAGCCATCAAGTATTTGGATTTCCTTTCTTTTTAAAGGAATAAAAATAAATTAATGCAATACCTTAAATGAGAACCAGCTCTTACTGCAGGGTTGTCAGAACTAGAGTTCTTTGACTGTGTGATGCACGCTAACTGTTTGGGTGACCTAGGCCTTTTGTCTTCAGCTGGAAGAGCAGGACAGATTTCTTTGGGATCATTTGCATGGAACAAAGCACATTTCACCTGCCAGTTCAAGAAACCAGCCATTAGTGGTGGATTTCAGAACTCTTTACTACTTGCTCCAGTCATTTACAGGTTTCTTTATTTTCTTACAAACATACACAACAACTGAACAGGACTTCCATACTGTGGGTTCCACAAGAAGCAATGCAACATGATTTCTTACAGTTGCATGACGAAAGGTATGAGAATAAAGCAGGTAATAGCTGCCTCACAGTGTTCTGCTCCCAGTTTGATTGCTCCTTACAATACACATCGAGCCAGTGAAGTGCTGCAGTGCAGCTGTCTACATTTTTAAGCCCATATATTAGGACATTATGTGAATCAAATGTTTGATTCCTCTCTTTTGGGTCTCCATTTCTTCAGTAGGTCAGATGCGTGGCACTTAGCTTCATGTCTTTCTGTAATACGGTGTCAGTCGCTTTCAAGATCATAAGCTTTCTACATGTTGTCATTTTTGTTGATCCTTACAGCTGAGCAACATCTATCTCTGCTGTGAGACTGACAATTAACATCTTTTTGCAAGGCCTTAAGTTCATCTGAGTGACAATTAAGAAAGTAGGTATGAGTTTAAGGTGCAGCAGCAGCAACTCCTTTAATAACTTTGTATACCAGCTCTGGAGTAAAAGAACTTTTATTCTTTAGCATAGTTCACTTGGAGGTGAAAAACCTGAATAGGATTGATTTCATTCTAGAGTAAGTGTCCATGTAGCATACTATTTCTGTAGATGAACTCCACAGAAACTTACTTATGCCATAGGTCTGCTTTCCTCTGCGGTCTAGCAAAATTATGAAGTTGTTTCCAGACGTGTGACTTCTGCTAGTACTACAGAAGGTAAATTACACTGATGAAATGGATCCACGATGCTTGTAACAAAACCTGGACTGCAGGAAACTTGTTGCCTCACTTCACATGGATAATAACTAGTATTTTCCTAATTCCGTTTGACCAAGTCTTTGTTCACCTTGGTAACAGCTATAAATATTCTTTGAATTTAGCTATTTAAGCCAAGCTCTTTAACAGGCCACCACATTCCTTGAGGGCACACACTAGGGCCTCCAGTGTGACAACCCCACCTCTACCACTGATACCATTAAGTGGAAACACACAGCAGTGACTTACTTCTTCTCAAGATACATGCTTTCAGTTGTAGTGAGGAATAGTTTGGTTTTCTGTGTTCTCCCAAGTGCCAAGAGAAGGCTGTATACACTCATCTTCTCTTGTAACCTACTTAGAGGGTGAAAGTACTCATCTAGAGCCAGGGTGGGCTTTTTAAGCCCAACATAACAAGCTCTTCACAGTCCGGTGTTCTGAAGCAGCCTTGTTCAGCTATAGCATAGCTCCATGTCTGGAAAGATGGGAGGGAAGGGCTTGCAGCAATATTGTAATCAAAAAAACATATAAAAAAAAAGAAGCAAGTCTGTCAGACGTGTGCAAGATGTTCTGCTTTATCGAAAGAGCCGGTACATCCGAGGGAGTCGCCCATCCTTACTGGAAAGTGCTGCCTGGATGTGTTCGTAAGTGGGCAAATCTGTTAAGTCACCCAGTGCAGCCACAGCTGGTTTTTTATGAAGCATCTTAGTGACCACTCTCTTGATATCTGTAGATTTCACCTCACCTGCAGGAAAAAAAAAAAAAAAAGCCAGAGTTGTGACAACATTCTAAGTAGCATGAAGAAGCTTTATTATGATGCTGAATCGGACCCCATGCTCAGAAAACCAATCAATAACTCTAGACCTTCTGTACCATGCTTCTGTTTTTCCCTTCTGACAGAACCAAGCGTTGTGCTAGCTTGCAAGCAATTGAGAAGATCGGTTTGAAATATGTATCTGTATTATTTATGTCCCCAGGCTTTCGAAGGCAATTCATCGGTGCTACAATAATATGTTGTAAGTTGCTCTGCCCCAACTATACCTACAACTCAGCCAAGGCAAGGAAAAGCATTGTCTACTCACTGATCAGGGCACAGAGCTCATGAGGTAGCTTCCTTGTGTTTGTTGCCAAGACTTGCCTTCCCACATCTTCAAAGATAACTGGCCGAGACTCAAGGTTCATCATGAGCATGGACTTCAGCTGCGTCTTTGCTCGCTCAAGTTCTACCTGTAAATGAGCAGCAAATACAAATAGATGTTCAAAAAAGTCTGGCCACTGCTTTCTGGTACAAGATACCATGTGACAGTTCTGCAAACACCTTCCTCTTTGTAAATGTGTTGCTCAAGTTACTATATTCTTTTACAGAAACACGTAACATACTTTTCTACAAAAACTCATTCTAGCAAGGCCAGAGCAATGCTTTATTGCAGCTCAAAGAGCATCTGCATAGTCTGCAAGGTAGGCTGCTGACCTCTCCTATTGCTCCTGCCATTAGAATGAATTCTCTTGTGATGATTTCCACCATTTCTCGAACCTAGGGAAAACAGATAATTGAAAGAAGATTAGAACAACGCTTATTCTGTTAATGTTACTGTCTGGCAGTAAGTGATGTGATTACACCTGTCTTTGATACAGGACTACATACCTGTTTTGGATCTGCACTGGCATGTATACACAGGAGACCTGTATCCTCATAACTGTGGTGGTAAGAGGTTGCATTATACATCCAGTGGTGCCTGGGAATATACAAACAGTATTTTAAAATTTTTAAAAAACAGCATTTAAATGTAAAAATTAAACAAACATGGACAGCGAGTCCTGTCCTAGTGCATTTTCAGGATTCTCAGCAGTGCCAATGAGAATTGTCAATCCCCGTTTATGACAATGTCTGCATGTGCCATCTATTTTCTTCTCTCCACTTGCATCCTTGAGACCAAACCCAGAACAATACAGAGCAGTGTTACTGGTATCTACTGCCAATTCTGTTATTAACCCCTGATTAAAGGATAGATTGGGCTAGTGGAGGAAGACAGGATTCCTGGTCACTTCTGCCCTTTACTTTCACCCTCTCAAAATGCCCAATGTCAAATCAGTCCCACATGTTTCAGGCAGAATAAGCTGATGTAAAACTTGGGGGTGTTGGCTTTCAAAAGATGAAGCTTTCCCTGTGAACCTGCTAGAGAAGATTGTTTCTGCTGTCCCTTAAATAGAAAGGCAAACAAACCTGTTGAGCACATTGAGGTACAGTCGGGTGAACATGCCCTTGCCAGGCCCTCCAGCTGAAAAAGAGCCACCGCCTCCCATCATCATGTTTAATACTGCAAAGGGAATGAAGTCTTCCTCCTGAATTGCAACAAGAAATTCAGTCAGCTAGGAGCAGAGTTGTCAAGAGTCTGGGATGAGCAAAGAGGGAGAAAAAAAACTCAGAAAGAAACATGGCACAAGAAGAGTGTAAAGGTCAGTGCCTTCATCAAACTGTCGGTGAAAAAGCTGTCGTCTGTACGTGCAGCATCAGCAGCAAGAGTGCCAGTGTTTATATAATGAGATAGTAGTCTGGGATTCTTCAAGTACAGGGCACCCCAAAAAAAAAGGATTTCAGGTTGATACTTACTAAAAACGAGCAGCTTTCTAACCCAATCATGATGTGGGTAAGCTCTGGGATGGGAGTAGGGCCCAGACTTACATCTGACATATCTTTTTCAACCTGTGGGAAGGGCAGACAAATTATTAGGACTGATTTTCACCTCTGTTGTATCCAGCTTGATACATTCCCAATAATTAACCTGTCACCCAGATAATGGCTGTCATAGCCAGTTCTGGCTGCATATTCACAGACTCTATTTCTACATGAACAGTATGTAATTTTAGAAATGCAAAGCCTGTAGAAAAGAAATCAGCTCAATTCCAAATCTGCACCTCCCAATAGAAAAGAAGAGGCGTGGTGCCACCTCTACCTTCCTTTTACCTTGACAATGCCTCCTGTGTACTGAGCC